TATTTTCAGGGTGGGTCCACAGCAGGTTTGTTTCTGTGTGTAATTAAGCCCCTCTATCTAGGTGAAATATTCCTGAGAATCCTACCTGCTGTCCTGTATACCTACTATTCGGTGCTTCCACTCCAGCAGACAACAAGCCCATCTCCAGTCCATGTGAGCTCCAGGAATTATTTGGTACACTGCCTTCTACTGGTACTTTTCCAAACCTCAGCTACTTCATTTATTTCATTTGTACAGATCAGGACATAGCCAACAATTTCAGTGGATCTCTCCTCAGTTCTCCACTTCTTGTCTGTGTGTCCTTCATCTTTGTTTTTAATTTTAGAGAGACAGGAAGGAAGAGAGAGAGAGAGACCAAGAGCAGCACTGATGTAAGAGAGAAAAATCGATGGGTTGCCTCTTGTACATGCACCGAGAGGCCAGGGATCAAACCCACAACCTAGGTATGTGCCCTGAGGACTGAACCCGCAAACTTCTGGTGCACGGGACAACGCTCCAAACAGCTCAGCCACCTACCTGTCCAGCATTTTACCTCATCTCTAGTTCCCTACCCTCCCATTCTAGCCACTTGAATTCTGGTCACATTGGCTTTCACATTTTTTTGCCTCCAGGTTCTCAGTGCAGGGCAATCACAGGGCTCCATTCCTTTGTTGCCCTTCTGGCAAGCAAAGTGTTCCAGTGGCTACTTCTGAAAATCTTAAGACACCTCCAACAGCAGGAAACAGAGACCAAAAAACAGGAAACGAAATAAATAAAGATCTTTGCCAGGCAGAGGGAATACTGAATACCAGAGAATGAAGCAGTCTGAGAGCAGTCTTTCTTGCTGAGGAAAAGACTTGAGCATTTGCTTGAGGGTGGCCTCCACTTTTACCTTATTCAAAGTATCCAGTAAAATACCTCCCCCAGAACTCACCCTGAATTAGGTGAGCCTGTTGGAAAAAGTTGCTGCTACCCTTGAATGAGATGTAGCCCTCTCGTTTACATTGGTACTACACACCCCAGGATTGCCCACAAACACCTACCCTGAGGATGTCTGCACTTCCTGGTCCATTTGTACCACCTTCTCTCACTCTAGATCTAACGGAGCTACAACTCTTATTTGAGAGCTGTCTGTGGGGTGAGGAGTGATTTTGTGGCAGGGCTGGAATGCAAAGAAGAGTCACAATAAAGCCTTGAGGTGCTGGGAACTAGGGCAGAGGGCCTGGGTTGGAGACGAGGTTGAGGTGGAGACCAGGCAACAGGAGATGCCAGGTGGGTCACTGGGGCCAAAGGTGCAGTGGGCATCTGTGCAGGAGTGGGTGCAATTAGCCACCTTGAGGACGCAGGTGGCAGACGTGGGAGAGCACAGGGATGAGGGTCCAAAGCAGGCTGGGAGGCTGGGCTGTGGAGGGAGCTGCAGAGGGAGCTGGCTGCCAGGATGCAGGAGGGGCCAGGGGAACCACAAGGGCAGGTGGATTGGGAGTGTATGGGAGGGCCAGGGAGTCAACACTTAACTCCCAGGCTGTGGAGACCCTGAAGCTGGCTGCTGGGGATTGCAGTCGTCAAAGGCCGCAGAACCGGGCACCTGGAAGCCAGAAAAGCTGGCAGTGGAGCGCCTAAGCTAGTTAGACCAGAGTTCTCTCTGGGCTCTGCGCCTGGGCACCCACCTACTTGAGACCCACTCCCTAAGCCAGCAGTTTTATTTCAAAGGTTTGGCTTCCTTCCCCTTCGAACAAAAGACCAAAACTCCTGGCTCACCTGTGCGATACCCTGCACCCAGAGACAAGAGGGGCAGGTGGCGGGGTGGCACTGAAAGTGGGGAGGGCGGAGCTCTCCCAGTTCCTGGACCTCCAGTGATTCCAGGAAGATGGCTGGCTGTGTTCCTTTCCTGAGGCCCCATGAAATCAGATTCCTGCTCATTTGGGTCGCTGGCAGAATCCAGCTCCATGTACTGTAGGACTTAGTGTGTCTAAGCGCCCTAGAGGCTCTGGTTGTATGGAGCGGATACGAGAAGTCGCAGTCACTTTCTTCATTGTCTGTCTGAACTGGGTCCTTTTGATCTTGCTGAACTATGGCTGACCTCAGCTCCTAGGGTTCCTCTCCAGTGCTGGCACACAGCTGTATCCCAGAACCAGCAATAGGGCACCAGAGTCTGATCATACATACCTCTTCTGTCTGCATCCTTCTCCCTGCAGCTGAGGAAGGGTCTTCACTTCTGAAGACTGGTGTGATTAGATTGGGTCCAACTGAGGTAAAGTCTCCTTGGAACGTGCATGTTACTTACACAAGCAAAGTCCCATTGGCCGTTCTTGGACCTGCACAAGTTCTCATGATTAGGACATGGATAATTTGGGGAGCAGTTATTCTGCCCACTACAGTTTATCCTCTGTTCCCGATTCCTATCTGTTCTGCTTGCAAAATAAACCTACCCCAAGGCCCTAAAAGGTCTCATTCCAATATGGACTCAACATTCAAACCTCATGAGCTCAAAAGTCCCAGACCTCATCATCTAAACTGTTGAAATCAGGTATGGGTGAGATTCTGGGTGTAATCCACTCTGGGATGCATTGAGAGAATGAGCTATTCATAAAACATGGATGACTAAAATAACTTTGCTGCATGAAAGACAGCAGACAAAAATACTTTTAAAGTTGACTTAAATACAATTCTAGAGAATGAAAATTTACCTATAATGAAAGTAATAATTGCCTAGAGATAGGAGGGGAAATATTAGAAAGAGCACTGAGAGTTTATGAAGAGGCATAAGTTAACTATGGAAGTGATGGATACATTCAGGACTATGGCTAGGATGTTTCACGTGTATATTAAGGTTTACCAAACTGTGCACTTTATATTGCATGTTGACTACACCTCTAAGAAACTATTGAAAAAAAATGATTCCACCTAGAAGTCTGGGTCTCCCACTTATACGGGAAAACCAGAAGACAGCATCAGTACAGTCACTGTGCCATCTCATTCCAAATGCCTTGTGAAGAGAACCTCTTCCTCAGTAGCAAGGAATGAAGGCTGTTTCCCAGTGAGTCACCAGAAACTGGCTGGTCACAAAATCTACATCTTTGGACCACAATCTCTCTCTCTACTCTTGGTCACAGGGTTCCTGCCCTTGCAGCCAAGACATCAGGCAGAGCCCAGGGAGGCACAGGTGTTGAGGAAAACTTCACACTCTTTCCTCTGGGGCTGCCGTTAGTCATTTGAGTGACAACCCTGGAGATCATGAGAATTTCCATACACACAGATCTCATACAGCCATGGTGAGCAGAATGTTTTTTACAAAGGGGACCACCACTCCTCTTTGCTGTGGTCTCTCCAATCCCAATTATTCACACTCAGCATTTTTTGTATCAATTTTGTTTCCTTCCTGGACACAACAGGTTTTACAGCCAGTGATTTGTGTACTAGATTCTGGTCTTCAGGGTATATGGCACTTGTCAGGTTTTGAAGGAACAGTTTCTACTCAACAGTGCTGAGGACTATGGGTCATATGCTAGAAATGAGACACTCAATCCATGCTGCTTCCAAACACACTGTAATCTGTTACAACAGCACCTTCCTTACAGTGATGTCTGGGCCCCCAAATAATTCTGAAATCCAGACAAAATCAGTCCCACCAAGCCCTGAATTCTCACATAGGAAGGTTTTCTCATGCAAATTAAAACAATGAGATACCACCTCACACCTGTCAGAAGAGCTATCATCAATAAATCAACAAATAAGCACTGGCAAGGCTGCGGAGAAAAGGGAACCCTTGTGCACTGGTGGTGAGAATGCAGATTAATGCAGCCACTGTGGAAAATAAGTGTGGAGTAACCTCAGAAAATTAAAAGGGGAACTGCCCTTTGACCTAGTAATCCCACTTTTGAGAACATACCCAAATAAACCCAAAACACTAATTGGAAAAAAAGTATATGCACCCCTATGTTCACTGCAGTGTTATTTCCAATGACCAAGATCTGGAAACAGCTGAAGTGCCCCACAGATGAACAGATTTAAAGAAAAAAGGGGGGAGGGGCCCTGTGTGGTACATTTCCACAATGGACTGCAACTCAGCCATAAGAAAGGAAATCTTACCTTTTGAGATGAATCTGATTATGCTAGGTGAAACAAGCCAGACAAATGCCATCATTTCACTTGTGTGTGGAATCTAATGAACAAAATAATCTTTAATGAACAGAAAAAACAACAAACCCCAGAAGCATAGCTATATAGTCTAATAGCTGTCAGAGGGGAAGGAGATTGGGTAAAAAAGGTGGTTATTTACACATACACACACACACATAATGCAGACATTGCCAGAAGAAAAGGGGATAGTGGAGGGAGGAGGAAGAGGGCAAAGAAGGGAGAGACTACTTTTGTCACTCAACATAGTATGCAAATGTGTTGAGTGGTACATTTCAAACATGTAAGTTTTAACCAATGTCACCAAGAAATTTAAAAAAAAAAAAAAAAAAAAAAAGAGAAGGGAGCAGGCAACTCTACCCTCTGATAAAACTTGTTTTATCCGATGTTTCTCTCAGCCGCCTAGTATTAAGTTATGTTGGGTTTTTTCACTACATTGAAATTGTGAATGGCTTACTTTTGAGTAAAAGTATTAGTTTAAAAAGACGGAAGGCTAGAAATTCCCATGAGATGCTACTCTCCTCTTTTGGTTATAAACTTAATTCTAATGCACATTACTTGTACTTTTTTTTCTCTGTTGATTTTTTCAAAGCACTATCTTGCATATTTCTTAATTGTTTTCTTAAGTTCTTAATGTTACTTTTTTCTGTTCCACTTTTCCTTGGTTTACTAGTTTTACGAATTATTTTATATATTTTCCTTTATTGTTACAGCTGTTTTATCTGTATCCTAAAACTTCTGATTTTTAAAAGATTTTATTTTCAGAGAGCGGGAAGGGAGAAACATTAATGTGTGGTTGCCTCTCACATGCCCCCTACTGGGCCCGCAACCCGGACTTGTGTCCTGACTGGAAATTAAACTGGTGACCCTTTGGTTCACAGGCTGGCACTAGATCCACTGAGCCACACCAGCCAGGACCCAATATGCTGTTTTTAAATTTTGTATTTCTTCTTGATTGAGAATTTATTTATTAAAAAAGGGAAGAAAAAAGCTTTTCTCAGCAATGGAAATTAACACCAAAGCTACACTGATGGACTTGAGAACTCTTCTCTGCCAACCTGCTGTTCCATTTGAGGCACACAAAGGTTGGAAGCACCTACACACACTGTTCACCTCTTCAGTTTTGCAGAACTTGTTTTCAAACCAGTGAAACACTAAAACCACCTCTAGGACTAAAGGTAGCTCAAATAAGAATGTCTTTATTATCACACAAATCAGAGCAACATGAGGCAAGTAGTTCTTCAAGCTGAGTCATTTAGAAGGCTGGAAAAATCCATCAAAACTATCACATGAGACAACGTCCATGAGGAAAAGTAAACTTTTCATGCTACCAGAATATAACTCAGGTCCTCTTGGTTAAAGATGGGTCATGTCCACACCTTTACCAGTCAGCAGGGAGGAAATGAGCCCAGGTTTATTATAATTCCCCCAGAGATCAGAGACAGTACAAACGTCTGTCTTCTCTGAGGATTATCAGGGTAACTAAGCTGGTAGAGTTGAAATGTTTTCAACTACAGACATTGAGCAGGTGCCTAGCAAGGCACCTGAGCAGGTCTGAAAGTGCAATACAGCCCCTGAAAACTTTCCTTGTACCCATCAGTCATATGGTATCTCCCCAGTGTTAATGTTCAGATACATGAAGTTCAACGTCTGACTAATGTCTTCCTCTCAAAGGGAAATCACAGAGCTCCTCTCCATATGGATGTTGTGTTGACAGCACTCCTAAAGCCTACCTGCAGTGTGAACTTTCTGGTGCCGAATGAGGTGGGAGCTTAAGCTATAGGACTTCCCACATTCATTGCACTCATATGGCCTTTCTCCAGTGTGAACTTTTTGGTGCCGAACAAGGTGGGAGGTCCTTATGAAATCTTTCCCACATTTGATGCACACAAAAGGCCTTTCACCTGTGTGAACTCTTTGGTGTGCAATAAAGTCAGAGCTTCGGCTAAAAAATTTTCCACATTCAGTGCATTCAAAAGGTCTTGTCTCAGTGTGAATTCTCTGGTGTTTAATGAGGGTGTATTTGTGGCCAAAGGATTTTCCACAATCACTACAAACATACGGATTTTCTCCAGTATGGATGCTCTCATGCTGAACAAGTGTAGATTTGTGTCTGAAGACTTTCCCACAATCATTGCACTTATAAGGCCTTGCTCCATTGTGAACTCTCTGGTGCACAATCAGATTGGAGTGATGACTAAAGTATTTTCCACATTCAGTACACTTATAAGGCATTTCTCCAGTGTGAATTCTTTTGTGCTGTGTCAGGTTGTCTTTGCGACTAAAGGATTTCCCACACTCACTGCACTCATAAGGCCTCTCTCCGGTGTGGATTCTCTGGTGCTGCACAAGTGTGGCTTTTCGACTGAAGGCTTTCCCACACTCACTGCACTCATAAGGCTTCTCTCCAGTGTGGATTCTCTGGTGCTGAACAAGCGTGTCTTTGCGGCTGAAGGCTTTCCCACATTCGCTGCAGTTGTAAGGCATCTGTCCGATGTGAAAAGCCACCCCAGTCTCAGGGCTGCTTGTCTTCCTCTTGCTGCGGGGTGCTTTCTGCTGGTGACTGCCCAAACATGCCTGGAAGTTTTTCTGTTCCTCCTCACATGTGAAGGACTTCTTCAACAGATGAGGTTCTTCACAAACTCTAGAGTTCTTCACAACTGAGGTTTTGCCTTTGTCTCTCCTTAAGGATTTCTCTACATCGTACTGCTTCTGGTGGTGAAGGAAGTTTGCACTAAATGAATATTGTCTCCCACATGCCTCACACGTATAAGGTTTCAGTGCATGGTGTGTTTCCCGGTGTTCATCCAGGCACAAAACATCTTTCAATATGGGGCCACATATGTCACAAGGATGAGCCATCTGGGCCGATGAACCTGTCTTGGAAGTATTATGAACATGTGACACTTCCACAGACTTGCCCTGCTCAGAAGTTGCCTCTTCATCCTTCACTCCAAGCCAACAACCTGAGGGCAGAAAAACATTGTTGAAGTGCATGCTGACTGGTGAAAGGGAGCAACCCCATCACAAAAGTGTTCAGCATACCCAGAACTCAGTCCATGAAATAAGTGGTTGGCAGAATGGCAGATTTAGGATCAGGTTAAAGAAAGAGCTGCTGTGCACTGCTAGACTCTAAGGATCACAGAGTGGGGAAAAGTCTCACAAACGACAAAGATATAAGGCTGAGATGTAGCTTAGGGAGAAGAAGCGGGCAGCATCTCTAACCTCCTTGCAAATGATTTTTAAAAGGGCTTTGCCTATTGGTAACACATGAGTGCTATATAGAAATGTATGTCCAGGCCCAGGAAAATGTGACTTAAAATTAGTAACTGGTAGTGAAGAACTATTTAAGGATATGTATACGTCTCTGATACATAAGCATTGTCCAATATAGGTGATGACCGCAGAGGGAGCAAGAGAGCACACTGGTGAGTGGGGTGTAGAGCCCTGGGTCAGAGGCCAGAATAGAAATGGCAAGTGTGTTAAGCGTCCAGAATGGGCAAGAAAAACAGAAATAAGGTATGGCCCAGGCATCAAACAATAGTGGGCACAGGATAGGTTTTTGGTGCCACTTGATCCCAACCCTGAAGTCACACACTCCCCAAGCTCTCACTTACCAGGGCCCGTCCATGCCCCCTCTGCTGCAGCTAGAGTCATGACCTCACAATCAGGTACTCAAGAGTTCTCTTCCCTGCTACTATTCAGCAACCACAGAAGATCTGGAAGATACAAGTCATACAGGAAAAAGGGCCAGCAAGTAAGGAAGCACTGCCCCAGGGCAGCCTACCCATGAGAGACATTAATATCCTGCAGAAACAACCGAATGGGTCCCAGAAGCAATGACTACGACTGTAATTCATGACACAAGTATGTCCAGGGAAGTATTGATTAAAGAAAAGGGGCACGGACAAAGCAATCCAACCTGGGAGAAGCCAAGTAAGGTAGTATCCATTGGGCTGACCACAAAACTCCTGACCTTGACACCCTACCTGGCAAGGGTTTGGTGCACCAAGACTTGTGAGCACACAGGGAGTGGAGGAGACAGTACCCACAGCTGAGCCCCGAGGACCAATGTGAGGGAATGATGGAAAACAGCGGTGTCCATGGTCCAGCTACAAGAAGGAACAGCAACCTCTGGGGTAAAAGGAAAAGCAGAGCACAGACTGGAAAACTGGAACACACAGAACCTTATCCAGGATGACCACAGAAAGTCTCTGAGCCTTATCAAGTAATCCCTACTCCTCCCAGGAGAAAAACACAAACATATCCTCAAAAGTCACACGACCCCACATGAAGTCAAGACAACTATGCACAGGGGCAGCCTGTCTCCCCAGGACTCCTGGTCTATCCACCACATATTCACCTTCCTTCCCAGCTGTCCAAATCAGACAAGATACAGGGCCTTTGTGTGACTGGTGCCTGCTCTTCCCTCATTTTCCATGAATCATTCCGTGCAGCCTAGACCAGGCCAGTGGACAGATGAACAGACACCACATAGTTTGGGCCTGGCATGCAGAGCCCACCCTTTCCTGGAGCCCAGAGGTTATACAAATTTGAGTTTGGCATTCTCCCTAGAGCCCTCAGGCCATAAATTAAGATTCCATTTCCACGTATGGTGACTCTAAGTTTAGATCACATTACCCTCTTATCTATGGACACCTACAACCTTGGTATATTGGGACAACGCTCTACCCAAATGAACTACCTGGCCAATCCCCATGAACTTAGCTCTGCAATCCTCTGCTCCTTGACTGAACATCAGCAATCCAGAACCATGTACTGGTATCAGACTCATCCAGCCCTTTTCCACTTTGCTGTTGCACACTGAGCCAGTCAGAAGCTTAACACTAAACACTTATTTAAGGCCACACTCATTGGCCTTCTACCCCAAGTATAGTGATTCTACCAGCTGACTCAATTGTCCCTGGGTTAATTTGCCAGCTTGACTGAAACTCCATATCCCACCAAATGTCTCCACAAAAACCTGGGAAGCACAGAGAGGGAAATAAGCCAGCTCCGGCCTTTCATCTCGTCTCTCTTACAGTACTACACCTCAGGATCCACCTCATGTCCACTCTTTCTCGGAAAGACTTCACCACCTGTCAGATTGTATTTCCCCACCTCCCCCGACACCCATCACAAACACTAACCCTGTTTCTTCTCTCTCAGGTGACTCCTATTCCCAATCTGCTGTGCCCATCCCCTTTCCAGACCTCTAATGGCACTGCCACCATAACATAAAGGTTTTCTTTAAAAATCTGATACATAACTCTACCCCAATCCACATGCTGACTGCCACCTTGTGGATGTCTCCAACTTGAATCCCTCCTCTGAACTTTAAACCTATGGGTCCAGCTGTCCATTTGACAACGCCACTCAGACATTTCACCATCTCAACTGAGAATTTTTCTATCCTTACACCTTGTCAGACCCAAAACTGTGGGGTGATCTCTAACTGCTCCCTTCTTTTACTCATCCTCAACATCAGACAATCACTTACTCATCCTCCACATCAGACAATCACTCCCTCCACTGTTCCAAACTTTCCATGGCTCTAACCACTCTCGGCTCCACAGGGTGTCATTCCATAGTTGAATCTTGCCACCCACTCTTTGATCACAACAAAATGGAGACCTGAGGTTTTCTGAACCAGTGTTCAGAAAACCTCAGGTGATGCATTTGTATGTGCTGGTTCCTGTGCCTGGGACATTGTTCCCAACTTCACCCTATTACTTGCTTGAAATGGCAACCCTTTCATGTAACTCGAGGATGAAGTCAAGATCTTCCGTGACACGTGGATCCCCAAACTCAGTGGCAGATAGAAGGTAGGTTCAGAGTCCTGAGACACTATTTATCATAGTGGGTTGCTAAATATATGGGTGAAGATGGGTTGAATAAGGACCACCTGATCACCTGCACATTCTGCAGTCACCTATGCGTGGATCTTGAGCACTTCTTCTGCCACAGCAACCTGGATGAGGGAGGTGGGAGTTACCACAGTGGGGTCACATGGACTGGTTCCCTAACACCTCCCTGCCCTTTGAAGATGATTTCAGGATGTCTGACCTCAGAGACTCACACCTCAGTGCTGCCTCCTACCATCTACGTGATCTTAAACAAAGAAATGTCTCACTGTCCTCACCTGTAGCGCTGTGATTATAGTGGTACCCACCTAACAGAGCTGCTGTTTTATATCAGACATGTTGTTACATGTTAAATACTTTTAAATTAGTGTCCGTAAGTTTAACACTTGCAAATGACTTTACTGCAAATGAACTGATTTTTGAAAGTGTGTGTTTATTTCTAATCTTTTAAGATGTGATATTTGAGACCCTCATTTTGTAATGAAATATTTAGAGGCAAGAACTTCAATCTATTATTAAACATGGTATAAATCTGATTTATCGTTATCTACATATTCTGATTTTTAATTGCCTGCTTATGTATACTTGTCAGGTGTACACTACTAGTCCTTTAACCAAATCAGCCTGCCTGGCACATACACCTCTGAAGGTAAGCCTGCTAGTGGTTCTTCATTAGAGATGTTCATCATCTCACCTGCACAATTAAGGAACTGATATACCAGAGCCCTGGACTGGGTTGGGACTGCTCCACTAGCCTGGCTGGCTTTTCCTCTGCTCCACAGGCAGTGCCTATGGGGCGTGCTGAGTCCACACTGCGGCAAATCTTTATCATCTCACACTTTTACTCACCCTCGAGGTCGGGACCCTAGTACCCTACAGAGCTCTTCTGCTCACATCAGCCAGATCCTTTTCATATCGCAGGACCCGTCCTTTCTGGAAGGAATCTCTGAATATTCATCGCTTCCCCCCATGCCCTCAAATCTCTCACCTCGGGGGCCAAATAAATCACATTCTTAATATTCTTCCTCTGAATCTTATCTCCGGGGTTTGACCTTAGGCCTCAATCCCTCAGAGGTGTCCAGCACGGCTCACTCTGCAGAAATGCACATCCAGGTACCCATGTAACACCTCCACTGAGAGACACTTCAGACTTACCATGTTTAAAATCCAACTCTTGATAGCCCTGAAAGGTGCTCCCTGCCCCAGCTTACCCGTTCCCAGTCTTTCAGATGTTCAGGGGAAAAACAACACAAACGCTTGGGACAGACCCTCGTGCCCTGTTTCCGCTTACAGCCCTTGCTGGCCCAGTAGCAAACCCTGTTGCTTCTATCTGGTAAACCTCTCCAGGACTGAATGACTCCCCCACCCTCAACTCCTCCTGCCCCTGCTCTGGTACGGCCACCACCACACACTACTGGTGTCCGCTACCTCCTCCCAGCCTCCCTGTCTCCGTCATTATCCCCACCCCACCCTACCCTTATCCACTGGAGTACTTCCGTACCCGCAGTGAAGGTATTCGCCTCACCCTGCCACTCCTGCCATGACTAGTGCTCACACGCTGCTTCTGCTGCAGAGGCCAGGACCGCAGTTTCCAGAGCGCTCCCAGATCGGTCGCTCCTCCCACGTCTCATCCCACTGGCTGTTTGACATGGGATCTCCATCCACAAACGCCCTGGAACCTGGGCTGCAGTGACTTCAACAGCGACCGCTCGCTCATTCGGGGCCTTAGCATTCGGAGGTGAGGGTCGGGCTGCATCAAGGTCCGGGGACACAGCACCTACCTAGGCCGGGCCCATCCCCGTAGCCGCCGCCATCACCGCCTGGACACCGTAGAGCCGTGAGGATCCCAAGTCTGGGTCCAGGCCTTCGCGGTCACTGCGGCCGCAGAGACTCTTCCTAGTGAGGACAGGGTCTCTTCCCGGGCCTTCCCGCTTTCCTCACCTCGGAACCGAACTACAGCTCGCTAACTATGCCTACCATGAGCCACAAGATGTCTGCCGCGAGGAAGACGCCGGAAGTCCCGCCCACGCGCCTTCCGCACGTACGGAAATGCCAAACACAGCGCCCCAGCGCAAAGGCCACTGGGTACTGTAGTTCGCTGAAGATTACCTGGCGCCGACTCCCTCTGGAACCGCAAGGCGTGCTGGGAAATAGTCTCTCCACATCGCTCTTCCCATGAGTGGTGGAATGTTTAGAGAGACATTCTTTCGGGTAGTCCCAAAGCTCCAGAACCAAATCCGAGAGTCGCATGAAATGTCGCGGAGTTCACTCATATGTCCTTGCTTTTTAGAAGTGTGGAGGGAAGCTTTAAGTCAGTTTTGACATTCAGTTTGGTCAAGGGTTGAGAGAGTTGTCTCCGTACGGGGCTGTGGAATGTAAGGAGGCACGTGGCTGGGGCTCCCTGGAGCTAGTGACTACCTGGAGTACTTCTGCCTGCTAACCTAAACACAAAAGGCTTTTCAAAGTGAGAGGCTCCAAGAGTTTATTTGAAAACAATGATAATGGCTACTTGGAAAGCACTGATTCAGGTGGGAGCCCAAGTAATGTTCCCATTGGGAGACAAAGGCAAGGGGTATTATGAGAAAGTTAAGGGGAACAAATACATCAGTGGAAGGCAGGCACTGCTATTGGTGCAGGTAACATAACATAATGACATTAATTCTAGACGGTGTTTTTAATTTCCAGTCAGGTAGTCATCAGTCCAGTAGTAATAACTGTTTTCTTGTTATTTTTGCAAACAGTTCTTTGGGGCGCAAGGCTGTTTTAGGATCGGGGTGTTCAACCTTCTGGTGTCTCTGGGCCACACTAGAAGGAGAGTTGCGTTGGGCCACACATGAAATACACAAACACTAACAAAAACTGATGAGAAAAAAAGCTTTTAAGTAAATTTACAATTCTGTGTTGGGCCACCTTCATATCCACCCTAGGCCACATGCAGCCCAGAGGCTGCAGGTTGGACACCCCAGCTTAGGCCCAGCCCAAAGGTCATTTTGGCCCCCGCCAACCCTTTTAAAAAATTATTTAAAAGAGAACTTTTATAGTTGAAAAAACTTAAAACGTGACAGAGCTTTATAATTTTTGTAGTATACATTTCATCTTTATTGTATTTTTTCCATGACCATTTAGTCCCCTTATAACCACCTTCCCCCCAGCAACTGCCACACCGTTGTCCATGAGTCCTTTTTCCTTTGTGCTCAATCCCTGCACCCCCTAACCTCCCCACCACCACTAGCTTCCATCTGTTCTCCATCTATGAGCCTTTGTTTTGCCTATTAGTTCAGTTTGTTCATTAGATTCCACCTATGAGTGAAATGATATGGTATGTCTTTCTCTGACTGGCTTATTTCAATCAGCATCATAATGTTCTCCAGGTCCATTTTACCCTGTTTTAACATAAAAAGGTTTAAGGCTTCCTGGCTGGCGTGGCTCAGAGGATTGAGTGCCAGCCTGTGAACCCAAAGGTCTCCAGTTCAATTCTAAGTCAGGGCACGTGGTGGGTTGCAGAGCAGGGCCCCGGTGCAAGAGGCAACTGGTGGATGTTTCTCTCCCTCTCTTCCTCCCTCCCTTCCCCTCTTTAAAAATAAATTAACTAACTTTTAAAAAAATGTTTAAGGCATAAGACATACAAGACAGCTCCTTTGGCATGGCAGCTACAACTCCACTTTTTAAAATTTTTTTTATTTTTAGAGAGAAGGGAAGGGAGAGAAACATTGATATGAGAGAGAAACATCAATCGACTGCTTCTTGGATTTGCCGCCACAGGGGACCAAACCTGCAAGCCAGGCATGTGCCCCAACTGGGAACTGGAACGGGTGACTATTTGCTTTGTGGGACAACATCCAACTGAGCCTCACTGGTCAGGGCACAACTCCATTTTAAAATGCCTCTCTACATTATTTTTTCCTATTTATTTCCTTTTAGGAATGTACTGCCTATCTGAAAAAGAACACGTTACAAGTGCTCTTGTGTGCCAGGACAGTGGCTGACATGGTCATAGTGGTAACATATTTGCAAAGGTGACATCTGGGCATGGAAATAAAGATTTGGAAGACCATTGTTGGGCAGGATAGGTAGTAAACCAAGGCAGGAAGGTGGAGGGAGATGTGTTTCACCCATTAACTCAGTAGTCCTGAGCCTAGTCCGGTCCGGTAAGATTGCCAGGTGTTCTGAAAAATCACAAGAAAAACCATGAGAGCACAAGAAGAAGGGAGCCCCTGAAATTCTGTTTCATTCCCACTATCTGGAAAAGAAAGCTTTTGAAACTGTGTATTAAACACAAGGTCTGGAGAGGGAAGGAGGAAGGGGAACCAAGAAACTGGCTACAAGCATAAAACTCCTAAAATCCCAAATTGGTACACTCAGACTGGCTGGGTACCCACTTGCAGCTTCATACTCATGTTTTTCATAAATAAACTTACTATCTCATTTACACTGTATGTGTTGTCTCTCACCTGAATTCATCTCTTGTGAGCAAGGCAAGAACAGAGGAGAGGGAACCCCTAACTCAGGACTCCCTGGTAACACCATGACCTCATTTCTTTGCTGGGAATGGATTCTCATTTCACTTGCAATTACAGGGCCAGTGTTTGACTTGGGAATTGAGATTATTCATGGTAAACCAAAAAAAGAGGGGGCGGAGAGAAGGAAAGAAAGAAAAACAAGTATTTGTTAATTAAGTTACTGGAAGTTATTAAGAACAACTGTATAATTGCCCTGGCTGGTATGGCTCAGCGGATTGAGTGCCAGCCTGCAAACTAAAGGGTCACCGGCACGTTTGATTCCTGGTCAGGGCACATGCCTGGGTTGTGGGCCAGGTCCCCGGTGTGGGGCATGTGAGAGGCAACCAGTCAACGTATCCTCTCACCCACCGACGTTTCTCACCCTCTTTCTCTCTCCCTTCCAATCTCTCTAAAAATAAATAAAATCTTTAAAAAATTTTTTAAATAATAATTATGTAGTTATTCTCAAATATATGCAGGAATGGCTCTGGGGAACATATCTGACAGGTGAAAAGAGTTAAAATGTCAGCAACATTTGATCTGGGACACTGAAGTCTGAGAAGTGAGAGAATAAAGCTGAGCACACAGTTGTGTTGGGACTTGAAACACAGCTGTGAGACAACTTTGAAAACAAGAGACAAATACTCTAGCTATAAAGTAGCTTACACTGTATTTAAGAAAGACAGAGTAAGAGGATAGAAGAAAAAAAAGAAACAATTATATAGAATGTTAGAATGTGGTAGGCACATGGAAAAGAAAGAAGGTGAAAGCACCAAGATGTAGAGCATGAGTTGTAATATTATACAGGCAAAGGAGGCTGACTTGTGCCCGGGTCTTAATTTATAAATGTGACTAAGTGACACCAGAGTAATGCCACTGAAAAAAAGTTTCACGTTATTCACAATTCCCCTAGAAATGAGAGACACAGAAGAAACACCAGGTTTTGGTTAGTAGGCAGAAGCAGGAGCCATGGGAAAGCGTAGGCCAGAGCCTTCAATGTCTCTTCTGTGGTAAAGGTAAGGGAGGGCAGAGCAAAGAGCTGAGGACTGGCTAGTTTGAACAATTTCAGTAGACTTTGGGTTATATTGCCTGGTACCTGGTCCTGGGATGATTTAGGTTACAAAGATAAGCTACTAAGTACTTGTGTAAAATCATGAGCCCATGAATATACAAACATAAACTCCTTAAATGAATAGATTTTCAATTGATTAGAGGAAAATGGGCTAAGAAAAAACAGCTCTTTCTATAAGACACAATTTTGCTCTCAAGTTTATTAGAGGCGAGAAATTTATTTCATCATGATTTATCATTCGTAACCATATTGCGTAAATATACTGGATTAAAATATTGATTGTGGAGAAATCGCCTGGAACAAAAAAACTGAACAATGGCAAGAGAGGAGCCTTGTAACCTGGGAGACAGAAGAATCGGTTTTAGCGCCATCTAACTGGTAAGGAGTGCGGTACAGAACTGAGAAGGCAGGCGGGGCGCCCATGGGTGGCAGCACCAGAACAATATTGAAACAGTTAGTTGGACCCCATTCCCCAAGAAGAGCGGGGTCTAAAGCAAAAGTGGGGATCTCTACCCCACAACACCAGAGCCGAAAAGATACACAGGAAACAGCCAGCTGTGAAAAGGAGCAGGGTTGCTCTCTGCCAGACACAGGCGGCTGGAGATGCAAAGAACTGTTTAAAGGGCCAACGCATAAATTTTTATTTGAGGCCACTTAACCCTGGTCTCCGGCAAAAGCAGGGGAGAGTGGGCTAGAGACACTTGAGGAGACTGGGGAAGGAGGCTTTGGGGAGAGAACTGAGAGTAGCAGCTGGTGGGATCTCGGTGCTGACTTATCCCCCATGCAGCAGGGACCATCTTGCTCAGGTGGAGACCACACCCCCTGAGCAGCACCAGCATCAAAGGACCCAATAGCCCCACCCCCAGGTGGGATTCCACCCCGCCCTGTGCTGTCTAAGCCGCCTGCTGAGTGCAGAGTGGCAGCCACAGACAGTAGATCCTTGGCTAAAGGCACAGAGACATCTGGCGACACTTGAGGAGAGACTGGGGACAGAGGCTTTGGGAAGAGAACGGAGAGAGTAGCTGGCGGGATCCCAGGGCAGACTCCTCCGCCATATGGCAGCAGCATGAGTGGACCCAATAACCCCGTTCCCAGGAAGGACTCCGCCCTGCCCTGAGCTGTCTAAGGCAGCCTGCTGAGTGCAGAGTGAATAAATTAACAGCTGAAGGAGACAGCCACAGACAGTAGATTACTGCAAGTCTTGAACAGACTGTCTAAGATCAGACAGGGTCAACATCTGACAACATCAGAGACAGATCCAGAAAGTAAAAACAGCGGTCTTTTACCAGAGAAACCATAGAAGTTCACACCACAAAGTCAGGAGATCAAGACAGATCAACTTAAGAATCAGAAGCAAAAGAGAAGAATCTCACAAGTAATGGGAAGACAAAGAAATATGCCCCACTCGAAGGGAAAGGAGCAATCCCTAGAAAGAAAACTAAATGAAATAGAGGCAAGTAAACTATCAGATAGTGAGTTCCAAACAATGGTTCTAAGGAAGCTCAATGAACTCAGTGAGCTCAGAAAAAATTACCAAAAACTACAG